TTTTTCAATGGCTTCTTCAACTCCATAATAATCCTTGAAAAAAAAAAAAGAAGATTTAGCAAGTGCCACCAACATTTGATATGAATTACAAAATTTACTATTTTTCTAGTTTGAATAAAAAATAATACCTGATCATTTCTCTGCCTAATTTTACCTAAGTATGAGCACAAGTGTAATTTCACCTTAGTGCATATGCTCTCATGTTTGCACAGCTAAGACTTTAGATTAAATTGTACAGTTTAAAATAAGAAAAAAAACTGAGGGAAACCTCATTTTAATTAGATAGCTTGTGGTTTCAACATTTAATGCAGAAATAAAATTATATTAGCCCCCACTCAAAATTAACAAAATATACCTGGACTGTCACACTTCTCTTGATTTCAATTCCTTTTTCATCATGTTGCCCAGTAGCCTAGTGATGAAAAGAAAAATGAACTTATCAAAATACAATTAACCATAACTGTTAAAAAAAAATAATGGCAACTCTTATTCGTTTATATTTAAAACAAAAAAAGCACTAGTTTATTTATTATAAAAAAACAGCAATTTAATTTGTTGACAGTGCATATAAAGCTGCTTCTAATTCTTTTTGGACATTTTTCTCTACCTGTTTAATGTTAATTAAAATGTGGCTTCTGTAATTCATGTATAATTTTATTGAAACAACTTATATTCTCATTTTGCTGGGAAGCTCATTCATAATTTTAAAAATGTGTGTATATATATATATATATATATATATATATATATATATATATATATATATATATATATATATATATAAAATGTATATTTATTTTTAAGCATTGTCTAGATTTTTAAAATAATGTAATTCCTGAACTGAATTTTTTTCTTCTCCCAAATACTAAAATGTTTACCTGGATGGGATGCACTCCTAGACAGGGAACTACAAACTTGGGATACCTTAAAAGAAGAATTGTTTTATAGGTAGTTTTTCAAAACAAGTATTAAACAAATGATCATGTATGATTGCGAAAAAGTTTTAATAATTTAGAAAAATGCTTTCATACCTTTCAGAAAGTTCTAAAACACATTGAAAATCTGTAATCTTTTCTGTCATTACCAAAGCTGCTCTAACATCTTTCTGGTAATATTGAAATAGTAAACTGGTTAAATTAGTCAAAGAAAAGGATTGCACATATGATTTTACAGCAAAACAAAACTATGGTACAGCAGAGCAACAAATAAAACAAGATCTAAATATCTAAAAATAAAAATTTTGTCTCAGTTTAGAAACAGAACTGTGAATCTTTATTCAGAATAATTTATACAGATTATACTGTCTACCCTGGTTTGACATAACTAGTTCATTCTGGTAAAAGATATAGTTACCAAAATTTTAAATAAGGTACATTTTCAAAAAAGTTTTGAGTAATCCAAAGACTAAAAAGTTAAAATAATAATATGCTGTCACTACAGCTCTTATATTAGACTATATAATTATGTCTATTTTAAATTCAATAACTTATAGCTTATATTAACACAATTAACAAAGAACTAAAATATATTTATTATCTTGAACTTATATATGCTCAGCTTAAGTTGAAAAACTAAGTGTCGAGAAGTTCCTTAACATAATGTTTCTTCTCTTGTTCATCTCTTAATTGAAAAAAAAACTGTATTTTGTTCTTATTTTCTCTCATTATACAGCTTTTAAAAATAGATAAGGCTGCTGATTTTTGAAGGAGCAAAGATTATTATTATTAGTGGTTTTATATAGCAGGGTACCCCAGCCTAGGGCTGGGCTCACCTCCATGTACATCCAATTTAACAAACATAATCATGAAATTGAAAATTAACATACCTTAATGAAATAAAAAACAGCTCTATAAAAACAAAACAAATGTATATTCACTCCAAACATTCCAGAACTATTAACATATCAAGCCATGGATGGCACCCAGCAGCATCGTTTATCAGTTAGAGGGGGAATCAGGATAGTAAAGTTTAAAGAGATTTGTTTTGAGTGCAGTTTTGAAGGCCTGGATGGTTGGCATATTGTGGATGTGTAGTGGAGGAGAATTCCATTGTTTTGGGGCACAGAAAGAGAAAGATTGTCCACCATATGTTTTTGTGCGTGTCTTGGGAACAGAAAGAATACGCGTGTCTTGGCAATAATTGCAAAAATCTCCATCAGTCATAACTGTATATTTAAAAATAAAATGTATGATTATAGAATCCTGAAGCTGTCGAAGCGGGTATGCAGAGCGACAAATGTGAGAGATATGATTATCGAGAGACATATTGTTAGACAGAATAATACCAAGATTCCAAGCGGAGGATGTAAACTATATGTCGGAGTTACCAATTACCAACTTGAAATGAGGTGGGGAGAGCTGAGTTAGTGGATGATTTATGATTGTGAATGAGTGCTTCCGTTTTGTCATCGTTAAGCTTCAGCTTGCTGAGTGTCATCCATGACTTGACATCACCAATGCTCTCCCGCAAAGTCTGGACAGCGGAATCAACAAGAGAGGGATGTGTATGCTTGTATAGCTGTGTGTCATCTGCAAATGACTGGCTCTCAACAGCATGCCTTCCGAGCAAATGGAGCAGTGGCCTGGTATACATTGTGAATAGAACCGGGCCCAAAACGGACCCCTGTGGCACTCCGTACACCTAGCCAGCACTGCCGGAGAGAAAGCCATCGACGGCGACCGCCTGCATTCTATCGGAGAGGTAGGTCCTAAACCAAGACAAAACTGAACCAGAAATTCCAAAGTAATTTTCAAGGGTCTTGTAAAGGGTTTCATGATCAACAGTGTCAAAGGCCGCACTGAGATCTAAGAGGATCATGATGGAGACATTACCGCTGTCCTATGCGAGCAAGAGGTCATTGGTGACTCTCAAGAAAGCTTCTCTGTGCTGTGGAAAGGTCTATAAGCCAACTGACTAGGACTGAGAAGGGAGTGGTCATTTAAGTAAGCAAAAAGTTGTTTTAGAACTAGTTTTTCAATGACTTTAGATAAAAGTTACAAGTTAGATACTGGTCTATAATTTTTCAAATTAACTCTGTCTCCTTGATGTTGTAAAGCTAACTTAAGTCTCCTCATCTCCCTATCATGTGAATACTCGCCATCATTGAGTGGAATTTTTTAAATAGGCAGAATGGACAGTCACTCTATAATTTTCTGGTTCCTTCAAAACATCATAAGATTCAGAATCCTTCATGCAGGCTTAATGAGAGCATCTTGAGTATATTAGCATTGAGGTTCATGGTAGGGTAAGAAATACTTAAGCCCATAAGTTTAACATACTACACTATTTCAAAAAATTCTTACTTGAAGAGCTCTGTCAATGATATTTCTGACATCCTGAAAATAATTTTTTTTTTTAAAATTGCACAAAATTACTATTTTAGTCTGTCAACAAATAAGTTTATTTTGAACATAAATTAATGAGATTTTAAATTATATCCAGATAGACAAAAATCATGCATCTTGGAGAGGATGGGGCTGACGGGGTCACAAATTTGAGAGATTATTTGATGAAAGTGTCAAATTATTATTACAATTTTGTGATGGTGGGGGTGGGGGTTGTTTGTTAAAAAAATCTACCAAATAGTGTGACATCGTTTAAAAGTTAAAGATGGTCCTTTACTAAAGTTTAGACCTACTACTTCATATCTTAGTAGGGCCAATGCAGAGAATTGTTGCCATGACGTCATTTGCATGTTTATTTAATTTTCTGTGTAGGATTCACTCCCCTTTGTTTATTTTTGGATAATTATTTTTATGTATATTAGTATTAATATGCAGAAGGTATGCTTAGTAAATATTGGTTTTTTGTTTGTTTTCTTAGTTTATTTTAATATAGTTGGCATTATTAAAATTAAATGTCATGTTTAAAATAAACGTACAATTTTAATACCCGGTACATTTGTTGAAAAATGTACATTTGTTCATTGCAAGAAGTGGCTGCGAAGGAATACTTCAACATTAAAGTGATGTTACAAAAGTTCATGTGAATAATTAATGGATATTAAAATAAAAGTTAAATTTTATTATCATAATAATTACTTGCCCTTTTGCCTTTAAGTGTCATTTTAAGCATCCGAAAATGCAAGAAACATGGAAATGTTAAGAAAAAATAGAGAAATTATTTCTATATCGGGTACTTTAAAATTATGTGGTTATAGAAAATGGAGTGATTAAAATGACATAACGTCACTGTGCTCACTACTTCTAAGCATACATTTTGGAAAATGGCTTTGATATGCATTTTATTGATTTTCTTTCTTATAACTTTTACTTTTTTATTTTAATTTTGTTGGAACCTGAAAGAAAGTGTGTGAAAGTGTATTCAAAATTCAATGGAACTTTAAGTTGGATTTTCATTATTTTACTATTACTATTATTTTGTGGTTTTTCTTCATTTTACAGTTTTCTTTCTTGATTTACTATAATTAATTTAGGCTTAGGTTTCCGTTTATTATTACGGTTCATTACCTCTATCAACAATCTATCGGTCAAGTGAGTATGAACATCAATAATCACTGATAAAAAAGATTTTTTAATGTCATAATCGGACATGATTTGATTAAAATAATTTCATTTAAATATAATTTTCATTGAGCGCAGTACTGTAGTTGAAAGTTTATTGACATTTTGTAAATAACGCAGCTGAAGACATTTCCTACCTCATTGATAAAAGACCAGAGAGGTGGCTCCAACTGCAAAGTCGTCGACGACGACAATGATATAAATATTAAAAAATATGGAATTTCAATTTTCATAAAATAACATTAGTAACATAATTGTGGTAGAATGAAATTTTATCGTAAAATTTGAATGAAATTATGTCTATTTATGAAGTTTTAAAAGCATCTCACATAGGTGATAATAAGTATAAGAGCTCTATACTATGGCACTATGGCTATGACTATGGAGTCTACCCTGCCCTTGATGTTACCCATTACAGTTTCTTTACCTATTCAAATATTTATAGGCTATTCACAAGTCGCGCTGCCCCCCCCCCCCCACCCGAAACTTATATACTTTTTTTTCACGGAAGTAAATTGGGTCGGATGTGGAGAATTTTGAAGGCAACTTCCTCGTAGGCCTATTTATAATATATCATATACAGCTATGTAAAAATAACATATTCATATCACTACAAAGATGAGTCGTATTTATGATAACAAGCCACTAGAAAATTTGCCTGTTCAAAATGTACATTGGAACGGAAATTGGGACCAATTTCAAGCTGACTTAATTAAGTCGCCGAAGTAAGTTATTAAAAATTAATCAAGAAACAACATTGTAATTAATGTAATTCAACCGACAGTTGTGCCTGATTGTCAAGATTGTGATTCACTGCCTGATTGTCAAGATTGTGATTCACCGATCGTCAAAAATTAGACTATTTAATTTAAAGTTAATTTAAACTATTACAACGACACGATCCATTATTTTTACCAAGCCAAACATAAAACTTCATGATATATTATAGCTAAATAAATACTAATGCATAATTATAGCAGTGAGTGAAAGTGTAATAAATTGCCCACCATTTATAATTATTAGGCTCCTAATTCCTATAATTTCAGCATTTAATTTCATTCATTGTAATTGCAAGTGTAAGGCTTATTAATCTGTGCAACAAATAACAAAGCATGTAATGTGTTTTAAGTTTAAGGCTTTCTAAAACTTTCTTTTGCTGAATGAATATCAAATCAGAATTAATTTAACCTAACTATTCATAAAATTGTTTAAACATATCATTCTCTTATCTTCAGAGATAATCCTGGTGTACTGTGTGAAGGCAAAATCAAAAACCAAGCCAGAATTAGCATTACCAGTTTAAGCAATGGATCACCTGCTTCAAAGGTGAATTTTAAAATATTTATAATTAGATTAGCCAACGCCAACTGTCACCACAACCAAAGCGTCTTTAAAAAATAAAATATGGTTACACTACATACTTTTAAGAAAATAAATATGACGACAGAGCATTATTTTTTATTTAAGTATTAACAACATCTAAATAAATTGGTTATTAAGTAAAAATTATTTGATTATTTGGAGACCATATAATATATAATTTTGTTATAAAGAGATACATTTTGTAAATCGTTTTTTTTTTTTGTGTTGTCAACTTTAGGCAAGATACTACATTTTGTTCTTAGAAATAGAAACGGCTTACAGAAGGAAGTTTAATGTCAGTGGAGAAGAAATTGAGCCTAACTTCAATGAGACAACCAAAGTTTCTACAGGATACCTTAACTCTTCTTATGGTTTGTTGAAATCTACTTTTAACAAGCAATGATTACTGTTTACTGGTTTATCCTTAATTTGAACCCTTTATTTTGTCAAACATATTTCATTCCCCCCCCCCCCAAAAAAAAACCAGAAAAATTATAAAATATATATTTAGCTTTAAAATTTAAATAAAACAACAACACGAATGACGAATGTCATCAAATATTTGCATGAGCTTTAACAAATTTATTACAGATGTCAAGGCAAAAGGAAAGACGGATAGACTTTTGGTTGATGAAGTTAAATCTGTAATTCATGATTCAAAAATTGAAGTCATGATTAAAGACATTTTGGCAAAGTCGTCACCGGGGGATGTCTTTTTACTATTTAAAGAGGATGACCATGATAAAGTTGAAATATCTAATGGCTCTTCAGTTCGAATTAAGACACTAAGAGACAGTCCAATTGTGGGTAAGCTAATACATTATTAAATAATATTGAATTCATATAATTATTTAAATCAATGCAAAATGTCAAAACTCTTAATAACTTTTAGAAGAAATAATGATTTTGTTAAATGGAAGTACATAAGTAAAAATAAAATGTACATGAATTTCAAATATTTTCTTTGATCGTTTCAATAATTAAAATGTATAAACTTTGAGATAAACTCAAAGCTACTTAAACATATTTGCATCAGAAAGTCTGGTGATTCGTGATGAAGCCTCAGTAACAACAAAAAATTTTGTGGGAGATGAAAGAGTTGGATGCACTTGGACAGACAAAGTAATGAAAGTAAAGTCCTTAGCAGAGGAGAAAAAGGATAACCAAGATAACGCAGAAATTGATGAGGATGAATGGGTTAGTATTAATACTATTAATAGTATCTCAAGAAAATATAACCATTTATAACGTTTCGGTGCAGATATTTTTTTTCTTGTAATAACAATTCTCTAATACATAGTTTAGAATATTATTAAATTGTTCATTTTTGACATAACAAACTACTAACTCTTATGAAGAAAATTTTTTCTAATACATAAGCTTTTAAGTAGTTTAAAAAAAAAAAATTTGCAACATTGTTATTCACATTTTTTGTGTGTTTTCATGCCCCATTTTCGTCACTACTTTGTATTTTGTCAACTGTAACAAAAACCTACAATGAACAAAAGGACCTTTATTATTTTAAAAAAAAAACTGGAGTCAAGAGTAATAAACTTTCACCATTAGAATAGTCATAATTTCTTAAATATAATTAAAGAACCCCCTAAAAATGTTTTTCGAATAAACATATAAATCCTTTATAAAATGTATTATCAAACAATTTGTGGGGGTTTTGACAACTTGACAAATCATGCAATCAAGTAACGCACTTTATAAGAATCCCTCAAATTCTTTTCATGCCACTGAACTATACTAATATTCTAATGAACCACCTGCTTTTACACTGCAGATATGTTTCACCAACTATTTCAGAAAAAGAAAATATTACGCAGCAAACGCACTTGCGACATTTTGTTTTTAAAGAATCTCATTTAGTAAGTTATGGGGAATTTTATTTCCCACTATCATATTTCCTTCATCTTCCTCCAGAAAAACAGTAAAAAACTGGGGTTTAAAATTTGAGAGAATATGCTGTCATTGGCAACGAGTATATTTGCCAAGTTTAAGCTCGATAGGTTGACGGGAAGTTGGTTAATTGGCACTCCAAGGATTTTGCCTGTCCGTCACCAAACCAGCCAGTGAAGCTAATATAAAAGATTAAAAAATATCCAGAAAAGTTTTAAAAGATAAAGTCATTCATTAACTTATTTATATCTGCAAAAGGAACAAATTAAAAACTGCAGGAAACCTTGTTGGATTTATAGATGCCATAAATACGTCAGCCCTTTTTAAATATTATTTTTATTAATTTATTATTCCTTCATTTTTTTGCAGAATGACTGAGTTAAGGAACAGCTACCTCTAAAAATGAAGACTTCCAAAGGCAACAGCTTCACAGCCATAGCATATTTACTTCAGCTTGAATACTCAGTCCATGTATCTATATTTGTTTTACTGATACTTGCTTTTTAATCAGCCATTAGCTTTGGCTTTTTCAATTATTAATTTTTTTGAACGTTGATACTACTATTACTGATGATAAGAATCTCTATTCTTTGAATGGGAATAAATTATCTGTTTTAACACTTTAATCAAAAGAATATGGTCCTGTTATTTTCTTTCATAAAGTTCTTTGTTACTATTTATTTGTATGCTTGAACTCTGTTTAGCTGAGATTTAAATTTTAAAACAAAATTCAAAACCTGTTTTTAAGAATGTCATTTATATTGGGCACAACTGCTTATGTGAATAAACACTAATAATTCTCAGATACATAAGTATAAGAGGTTTTAGGGATAAACTATGTATCCCAAGACTTGTGTCCACCTGTCTGTACATTCTAGTAAATATGTTAACTATTACATGTTTCCTATAATCCTAAATTTTTATTTTTAAATGTACAGCTATGAATGATGGACATTTTTCCAATTATTGCCAAGAATTTAGCGTCTCTCTGTCTCTCTCCTTCTCTCCATTTGTTATTAGCAGGTGGATTTAATTTTTTTTTAACTATAGTGAATTAATATTTTTATATACATTTTTTTTAATGTCACTATGAACAAAATATTTACTGCAGCATTTAAATTTAAAAGTGAATTCATGTCTGATTCTTAATAAAATATATTTTTTGAATCTTGATAATTTCTGTAATTTATTTCTCCCTCATAGTATACACTACACTTAAATAATTTTTTTCAAAAGCAGTCTCTAAACCAAAAAAAAACCTAAACAATTAAGATCAGCTATGTCCATAAGTATGTATAACAAGTGTAGCTCAAAGGTGCGGTAATTGAAAAAATATATTTTGTCTGTGTACTGTGTTTCATAATATTTAATGTGAATATTTTCTTTTAATTACATAATACTCACATTTACATGTTATATTTTAAAATATAACTGGTATATGTCCATATTTAATTATAGATGCTTAAATTTAGACAACAAATAAGTTAAAAAAAAATTTCACCTCTAGTTAGTTTTGTAATTTTTATTAGATAACCTATTTTTTTGTCAACACATGACACAATTAGGGGGATGAGCTCCGAAATCCCCCCCCCCCCACCCCTTTTTCATGTTGGAATAAGTATTGTAGCACCACACTGAACATTATAAAAATTGGCATAGGTATTCTGTAACAATTTACTGGAATATTTGAGTTGCTAATAATACTAATTTTTTCAAAGTCAGCTTATAGCGTGGATACCTAGGTTTGCTTGAGAAAAATTTATCCCGGATCCAACGGGAGCCCTATGTAAACAATCAATGAAATAGTATGAAAATAACAAACCAGAAGATCGCTTAAAAGTTGAAAGGGGCTTTAATTTTTTTTGTATTAAACAAAAAGTTTCCGTTTAAATGTCCTTGTCTACAGTCCTATTGGTATTTTTTAAAGTTTAAGTTGCAGATAGGCCACTAATATATTCAGATAAGATTCTTTATTGATCCAAATAAAAGGAAATGTTTTTTCATTACATTTCCATTGTACATATTCATTTTCAGCACATAAACAAACACACACTTTTAACTTTAACACAAGACATCATTTCACAACTACAATAGTGCAAACACAAGCCCTCTAAGGTATTTCGCTAGCCCTGAAACCAGCCACAAGCAAACTCCCTTGGTGACAATAATAACTCGATCAGTGATTATTTTATTGTTTAAAACAGTTTTTATATGGTTTGAAAACACTTTGAATTTTAAAAAAAAACAGTATGAAATTCAAAATTTATTTTAAGATTAATAAAAAATAGGGCCAACATGTTTTTATAGCCAAAGAAATGCATTTTGGGGAAAAAACATAAACTAATCCTAATTAAAAAGGCTGCACCTATAGGTACACGGGTACCTTTAATCACAAATAACTATTCGCACCCGGAGTGGCTCCGTACAGATTAAATGGCTTCGGAGCCGGTTGTGATAACAATAATAGTATGAGAATTTTTTTTTTTTTAATTGTTTTTTCTCCTTGTTATTTCATAGATACATAGTTTTATTCTTTTTAGTTGTTTTTTTGTTGCTATGTTAATTTCTCTTAGGACGGGTAGATTTTTTTTTCTTTACTATTTTCTTTTCTAGTTTAAGCCATTTTCGTAGATCATTTTTAAAAAAAAAATCTAGTATTGAAGATGATTTAGATACTAAATGATTTAGATGAGTTAGATACTCCACGGCCCCCTTCCTATGCAAGTGGATTGACTTTTTCTCGACAAACTTTCCTGCGGGCGCCCATGGTTGGTCAGCTCTAGTTTGATAGACGGCACTTTATTATTTAAATTTAGATGCCACCTAAGTTGACTCTGGTTTGTGGTGAGTAAAATGAGAGGCAGTGTTAGTGATTTTATGTATCTGGATGGAACCAAATTGCTCTATTATTCATCTGTTTGCAATGGTGTTTATTTCGCTACTGACATATATTTCATTA